CTCCGCCGTTTGGCACTCGACCTCTCGGTTGATTGTCGCGGGAGTGTGGTCACCAGTGATCGCCGTCCGCGGCCCAGAGCACCCGCGGGGTTTCAGAGTTTGCTTTACAATGCATCTTCTTCTATATACATACACGATTGGTTGTTATTTTTTTTGGCTTCAGTTTTCGAGGCGGCGTTGCAACTTAAGAAATAGAGCAATCTATACACACATATATATATACACAACATGCATGGTCACATGCTTTTGTAATTTACTATCTTGCGGCAACATGAGAAGTAACACAATAAACAATATGTTTATATGTCTTTGTTTTCTCTGTTTGTGTTTCTGAGGTCGCCTTACCGATGGCGAGGCATTGAAGTGATAAGAGAATGAATGAACACATACATCGTTCACCGATCTTTTATAGGTTCGCAGTTTTGTGTTAGTTTTTTTCAGTTTCTGAGCCGGCGGTGCAACATATGACAATATGGACGTTCACAAGACACTTTATAAGTACACATTTTAGGTGTTGCATGTTTTAAGTTGTTTTCGTTTCCGAGCATTCGGTGCAATTTATGAAAATAGGTGAATTTTAAAAAACTTATGTGAACACATGTTGTGGGTTATGTTTGCTATTGTTTCTTTTCTGAGCCGGCGCTGCCATTGATGATATTATGGAAATTATTTAGGAAAAACGTATGTAGCAAAGCATATATATATACATATATGCAAACTGTTTTTCATATATCTGCATTGTTTACTTATCCTGTTCTGTGATGGCGTTGCTAATAATGAACAGATGGAAAATATGAAACAATGTATGCATGTGCGTATATATATATATATATTTACATTGCTATAGTTTGTTTGAGGGTGTTTTTTTTCTGATGTGTTATGATATTATTCCTTTTCGGTGCGAGCGTTGCCAATCATGAACTGATGGAGAGCTATGAGACATGCATGCACACATACAAAGTAAGTTCTGATTGTGTGAAGCAGCCTTAGTATGGTTTCATATATATAGCATGTTCTGCACCGGCGTTGCTAAACATGAAAATCTGGAAGCGTATGAAACATATGACAACATATGCTTTTAGCTATTGCTTCATATCTTTGGCCATTTTTAAAACATTTTCCCGTTTCCGAGCCACCCCTAATTTTCCGTTAAAAGAAGTTCCCCAGCGCGCGGTAGATTGTCTGCGCCTCCAGAGATTATACCAACGACGACGACGACTTCGACGACGACGACGACGGCGGATCTCCAGTGTTCAGGAGAACACCCGCGGCACCTCGAGGCCCACTCTGGCCTTCTGAGGAGCGGCAAGTCCTACCGCCGACTGCCGTCCCCCCCCCGCCCTAACGGCGGTACAAGCGCCCCTCGTGCCCCGGACCTGCCGGAGCGGAAAGCCAAAGTGGAGGACAGGAAGCATCGACTTGGAGCCGGCGATACATCGCTCAGAGGATAGTGGTGGCAAGCGAGGGGGCCGATACCTGCAGCCGGTACGCCACCCACGCCCCCATTGACAACGAGCCGGCAGACGGCGCGCGAGCAGGGTGAAGCAAGGCGGCGTCGCTTGCGGAGGGCCCCCCCTCTGTCCGAGCAGGGGAGCAGCAGCGAAGTGCCAAGCCGCACGCTCTCGGAGGTCCGCGCGGGTTGCAGGCGCTGCTGGCCCGCGCAGCCAGCGGGTGCTTCTGCGTGCGTGCCGCTGGCGCGTGCCGCTGGCACGTGCTGCCGGCACGCGCTGCTTGCATGTGTGCTGCTGGTGCGTGCTGCCGGCACGTGCTGCCCGCGGGCACGTGCTGCGATGGGTCTGCCTGTCGAGCGCGACGCGGCACGAAGGATTCCAGAATTCCGTCGTGCCTGCTGGCCCGGCCCGGACGAAACAGCGGGCCGCGGGACAGCCGGGTATGCCATGCAGGGGCCTTTCGTTCACAGCCTTGGCGCGGAGGATTGGAACTGAACAGAAAAATGGCGCAGGGCAGCCGCTGTAGGTGATGTCCAAGCTCCTGCCATACATGTTGGCTTGGACCCGCCAAGGCCACGGACCGCAGACTAGCTGGGCATGCTGTGCAGAGGCCCTGAGCCCGCAGTCCTGGCTTAGATTAGTGGCGCTTGGAAAGTTGATGCAGCACACATGGTGCCAGAACTCCTGTCGTTCAAATCGGGCTAGCCGAAGTATCGGACCGTGGGCTAGCTGGGTATGCTATGCAGAGGCCCTTCGCCCACAATCCTGGCTTGGAGTACCGGCGCTACTGAACGGCATGGGGTGGACTAGTGCCAGGTCACTTGCGGTCCCTGTTGAGCCGGACTAGCTCAAACAACTGCCCGCTGGTTGATTGGACGTGCTGTACAGAGGCCTTTAGCCCACAGCCCGGGCGTGGATTACTTGACTGATTTGGAGATGTGCTATGCAGACTTCGTGGGGAGGGAAGGAGTGGATAAAGAAGACATCAGTTTTGACGGCACGGTGGGACGACCCTACCTGTGCTGCTGCGAGGAAGAGCGAAGAGACTGGCGAGAAGGAAATGTGCTGTGCCGTCCTGCTGGGACAATCCTGCAAGGGCTGCGACGACGAGCGAGGGGCTGAGGAACCCCCCCTTACTCCTAGGCTGGGGAACGGGAGGAGGAAGGAAGCAGGAGGAGGAGGAGGAGGAGGAGGAGAAGGAAGATGAGGAGGAGGAAGAGGAGGAGGAGGAGGAGGAGGAAGGAGGAGAGAGGAGGTTGGGAGTGAGGGAGGGACGGAGGGAGGAGTAGGAGGTAGGATAAGGTAGGATGTAGGAGGAGGAGTAGGGAGGTGGAGGGGGAGGAGGAGGAGGAGGAAAAGGAGGAGGGAAGAGGAAGGATTATGGAGGAGGGAGGGAGGGTGGGAGGGAGGGAGGAGGGAGAGGGAGGAGGGAAGAGGGAAAAAGGGGGAAGTAGGAAGAAGGAGAGATGATGATGAGGGATGACGAGGGGGTATGATGATGATGTTGCCAATGATGGTGATGATGGTGATGGTGGCCATGACCATGACCCAAGTAGTAGCTGCGATGATGACGATGATGATGATGTTGTTGATGATGATGATGCTGATGATGATCCTAATGAGGGGAAGGACACGATTATGGTGATGATGGTGGTGATGACGGTGGTGGCGATGAGGATGATGTTGATTATGCAGGTGCTGTTGATGATGGTCGTGTTGTTGATGATGATGATGCTGATGCTGATGATGATGATGATGATGATGATGGTGGTGGTGGTGATGACGATGATCGTGGTGATCGTGAAGACCCGCATGCTGTTAGTGGTGACGTTGTCGACGATGATGCGCGAGAACGGTGATAATGATGATGATGATGATGATGATGATGAGGAGGAGGATGATCAGGATGCTTATGGTGATGATGCTGATGACGATGATGATGGTGATGATGGTGATGATGATGGTAAAGATGATGATGCTGATGTTGATGAGGCTGGTGATGCTAATGATGATGATGCTGATGATGATGATGCTGCTGATGATGATGATTATGATGATGAGTATGATCATGCTGATGCTGATGCTGATGCTGATGCTGATGATGATAATGCTGCTGATGATGATGCTGATGAGCAGAAGGTGGAGGAAGTGGTGGAGGAGGATGAGACTATGCTGGTGGTGGTGATGGTGATGATGAGGCTGATTAGGATGGAGATGCTGATGCTGCTGCTGCTGCTGCTGCTGCTGATGATGATGATGATGATGATGATGATGATGATGATCATGATGCTGATGATGATGATGATGATGCTGGTGATGCGGATGATAATGATGCTGAGGATGATGATGAAGACGTTGATGATGCTAAACATGATGTTGATGCTGATGCTGCTGCTGCTGCTGCTGCTGATGATGATGATGATGATGATGATGATGATGATGATGGTGATGGTGATGGTAATGGTGATGGTGGTGGTGGTGATGATGACGATGATGAGGATAAGGAGAAGGGGCGAAGAGGAGGACGGAGAGGAGGAGGAGGAGGAGGAGGAGGAGGAGGAGGAGGAGGAAGAGGAGGAGGGAGGAGGCGGAGGAGGAGGAGGAGGAGGAGGAGGAGGAGGAGGAGGAGGGGGAGGGGGAGGGGAGGAGGAGGAGAGGAGGAGGAGGAGGAGGAGGAGGAGGAGGAGGAGGAGGAGGAGGAGGAGGAGGAGGAGGAGGAGGAGGAGGAGGAGGAGGGGGAGGATGAGGAGGAGGAGGAGGAGGAGGAGGAGGAGGAGGAGGAGGAGGAGGAGGAGGAGGAGGAGTAGGAGGAGGAGGGGAGGAGGAAGAGGGGGAGGAGGGAGGGGGAGGAGGCGGAGGAGGTAGAGGAGGAGGAGGAGGAGGAGGAGGAGGAGGAGGAGGAGGAGGAGGAGGAGGAGGAGGGAGGAGGAGGAGGAGGAGGAGGAGGAGGAGGAGGAGGAGGAGAGAGATGGACGGAGTAGTAGGGAGGTGGACGGAGGAGGTGTCTCCATTTGAGTCTCCATGGCTCGTTACCGCTCTTTGGGAGAGGTATGCCCTGTTGCGTGCGACTCCACCCCGCCTGGCCTTCGACCGACGCAGCTAGGGTGGGGGCCCTGTCCCGCAGAGCCTGGCCCTGAGCGGCGAGGGGGATGGGGGGGAAGGAGCGCGGAGGGAGAAGACAGGGTCATAGAGGAGGAGGAGGAGGAGGAGGAGGAGGAGGAGGAGGAGGAGAAGGAGGAGGAGGAGGACGAGGAGGAGGAGGAGGAGAAGGAGGAGGAGGAGGAGGAGGAGGAGGGAGGGAGGGAGGAGGAGGAGGAGGAGGAGGAGGAGGAGGAGGAGGAGGAGGAGGAGGACGGGGAGGAGGAGGAGGAGGACAAATCCGAGGAAGAAAAAGTCTATCCCCAGATCTCTCTTGGGGGCCACCTGGTGCAGTTTTTCACCCCGGACCTGTTTGCCGACGCTCCCGGGGCTGGAGATCGGTTCCCCGAGGCCGCAGAGGGCAACGCAAATCTTCTCGAACCTGGAACCTCGACCTCCTCCCCCACTGTCGGTCCTCTCCTACTGCGCGGGCGGCGACCTCCTGACGCACATGCGGGGGATCTCCGGCGCACCCGCGGAGCGCGAGGAGCGCAGGGGGGCCGTGCGGCTCGGGCTCCGTGGCCTCTCGCGGGGGCGGGGGTCTGCGCCCGAGGGGGAGGGGAGGGGTGAGGGGGGGGGGATCACGGGCCAGCCACAACTGGGGGAGCTGTGGTCCTTGCCCCCCTGGGGGACCCATCGATGTCGACGCCCCTCTCGGGGGATCGTCGAGGCGATGGGTTCCCCCAGGGGGGTGAGGACCACAGCTCCCCCAGTTGTGGCTGGTCGGGGATCAGGGGGGGGGTGCGGAGGGGGAGGGAGAGGAGGGGGGGGAGGAGGAGGATCCAGGATGCGGCGCTGGGGGTCTGGAGGAGGTAAACTCGATTGCTTGGATTGTCCTTGTTCGGGGGCTGCATTGCTCTTCCGGTATAGCTATTTTGGAACTTCTTCGCCCAGGCCAGTATTTGTCTCAGAAAGCTTTTGTTCCTTAGTTTGACTTTCGCTGACCCTGACCCCCAGAAGTCTGACCTCCGTTTGCAAGAGAATGATGGTTCCGAGGAGGGGCGAGGAGGGACGAGGAGGGGCGATGTGTGACGATGAGAGACGACGAGGGACGAAGGGACGAGGAGGGACAAGGAGGGACGAGGAGGTACGAGGAACGGCGGCGAGCTGCGTGGAGGAGCTGGCTAGGCCCATCGCGCGGCGACTCGTTGACGCCGTGATGCAGATTCACATGCACGGGCTGGCACACGGGGACCTGAGCCTCGAGAACGTGCTGCTGGCCGAGGAGGGGGGCGGCCCGCAGGCTTCCCCGGGGGGGGGGGGGGGACGACCCGGGTGACTTCCAGCCCCCCCCCCCCGCCCCCTTCGGACGTACCCTCATGGGGCCCTGCGCTGCTGCACGGCACTCCTGCGGGGGGCACTTGTGGGTGCTTCTTGGGCCGTCCTTGGGCGGCCTTGGGGGGCCCGTCCGCGGGGAGCGCTGGGGGGGGGGGGGGGGGGGCGGCTGGGAAATCACCCTGGGCGGCGCCAAGGGTACGGGGGATGAGGATGATCAAGAGGAAATCGAGGAGGAGATCGAGGAGGAGGAGGAGGAGGAGGCGAGCGAGGAGGGTAAGGAGGATGAGGATGAGGATGAGGAGGATGAGGACGAGGAGTAACAGAGCGAAGAGGAGGAGGAGGACCTGTGTAAGCCCAAGGCTCATCAACGATATTGGGAATACGCCCTCCCTCCACGCTCCCTTTTCACAGGCTCCTACAACGGTTCATCTCCACTAAGGGGACTGCCTCGTCGGAAGGCAACCGTTTGAAGATTCTGAAGCATGCAAAAAACCTTGTTCTCGGGATTTCAACGCCACGGGTCAACCTGACTGTTGCGATTTGACGAGCCAGAATCTTGTCAGAACGCCATTCCTGCGACTTCAACGCCGCGAGTCAGCGTAACTATTGCACCCGCAAAACCCCAAATCTTTCCAACACGCCATTGCTGGTACGATGATCATGGGAACCCGTGAAATCCTCGAGGATTTCATGAGCGAATGTGCGCGGCGCTAAGGCGAGAGCCACGTCTTGAAAAGGAGCCGCCCTCCATCCGTGAATCCTTTGCAAATGGGTAAAACGAATGTACGCGGCGCTAAGGCGAGAGGCACGTTTTGAAAACGGGTCGCCCTCAGCCCGTGAAGCTCTTGCAAGTTTTGTAAACGAATGTGCGCGGCGCTGAGGCGAGAGCCACATGTTGAAAATGGTTCGCCCACAATCCGTGAAACCCTCGCGCTTTTTTGAAAGCGAATGTACGCGGCGCTAAGGCGAGAACAACATTTTGAAAACGGGTCGCCCCAAATCCGTGAAATGCTTGCAAATGTTGAAAGCGAATGTGCGCGGCGCTAAGGCGAGAGCCACGTCTTGAAAAGGAGCCGCCCTCCATCCGTGAATCCTTTGCAAATGGGTAAAACGAATGTACGCGGCGCTAAGGCGAGAGCCACGTTTTGAAAACGGGTCGCCCTCAGCCCGTGAAGCTCTTGCAAGTTTTGTAAACGAATGTGCGCGGCGCTGAGGCGAGAGCCACATGTTGAAAACGGTTCGCCCACAATCCGTGAAGCTCTTTGCACTCTTTTTAAAAGCAAATGCACGCGGCGCTAAGGCGAGAACAACATTTTGAAAACGGGTCGCCCCAAATCCGTGAAATGCGTGCAACAGTTTAAGACGAATGTGCGCGACGCTAAGGTGAGAGCCACATTTTGAAAGTGGGACGTTCTCCGTCCGTGAATCCTTTGCACATTTGTAAAGCGAATGTGCGCGGCGCTACGGCGAGAGCCACATGTTGAAAACGGTTCGCCCTCACTATGTGAAACTCTTGCGCATGTTTAAAACAAACGTACTCGGCGCTAAGGCGAAAGCCCTATTTTCAAAACCAACTGCCCCCCCTATCTGTGAGACTGTTGCCACATGTCAAGCTTCAGGGTCATACAACGGTGAGGAAGTCTCAGGCGAAACGCCCGGCCCACCCTAAAAACTGGCCTCGGGGTGCGACAGGAATTCTTTGTTGATATGGAAAAGAAATGGAGAAGGAGGAGGAGAAGGAGGAGGAGGAGGCAGGGAAGAGGATGATGAGGAGGAGGCGGAGGAGGAGGAGGAGGAGGTGGAGGAGGACGAGGAGGAGGAGGAGAAGGAGGAGGAGGAGCAGGAGCAGGAGGATGAGGAGAGGGAGCAGTAGGAGGAGAGGGAGGAGAGGGGAGGTGGAGGATGCAGGATTCGAAGCGAGGTGGAGGATGAGGATAAGGGAAGTGACCGGGAAGGCGGTGGAGGACTTGAGGGACTACGGCTTTAGCGCGCCTAAGCCCCGTCAGGTGGCTCATTTGCTGAAGTCACCGCCCTGTAGGGCACGGTGGCCTGATGGTGCGAATGGCCTGTGGGTGTGGGCCAGACCGCACAGAACGATGTCGTTTTGGGCCAGGAGCCTGCCATGGTCGCATGGTCGCATGAAGGCCGAAAGAGGGCCCCAAGAGGGCCCCCAAGGCGGTCACAGGATGGCCCACAAGGGGGATCAGCAGCGGATATCTTCATGTTGGAACCTGCCATGGCAGCAGGAATGCCTCCAGAGGGTCCCAAGAGGCCCAACATCGGTCCCAAGAAAACCCACAATGCAGATCTACAGCGCAGATGTTCATCTTTGAAGCAGCCGTTCGTGGGCATTCAGGACCTCGAAAACCCGAGGATGTGTTCACTCTGGTCTTGTGAAGTGCGATGCGCAGCTGGACTTTGATGCGCTACGCGCACACCAGAAACGCGCGCCCGGATCCCACAAGCGGCAAGGTACGTAGGTGTAGCAGAAAGTGCGGATTACAGCTGAAAGCTATACACAGCATTATTGTGATTCCAACAGGTAGGGACTTGTTGGTAAATTTACTTTTCGGCCACGCGGTCGCGATTGAGATTTGTCGGCTTCCCGGCGGTCATCGAAGATCTTGAAAGTGGTGATTACAGTGGTTTCGGCCCTGGGAAAGTTTTGGCCCTGGGGTATAGAAGCAGTTTTGGCCGCTACCATTTGGAACGGCGTTCCAAAAGGTAGGGTCTTGTGGGTAGGTTCTCTGATCGGCCACGCGGCCGGGACAGAGATTCACAAACTTGCCCCCACCCCTTGAAGGTAAATTGGAAAGGTGAGGAATGGAGCAACACAACCCCCTGTCCATGCTCCCTCCTTCTGTGCTGCTCGTCATGCCATCAAGCTCAACGAGACGAACCGTGGTAAGCGGAGAGAGACGTGAGGTTTTGCAGGACCGCCAGCCTTGCCGCCAGACTGCATCCTTGAGGCAACTGCCTCGCGACAAGGCGAAACTTGCGACATTGCGGGCACGCGGCAGCAGCCACTGCCGCTAGGCAGCCCCCCAAAAGGAGACGAACCGTGGCAACCGGAGAGACATGCGTGTGTGCGGGCCCGCCGGCCGTGCCGCCGGGCAGTGTCTCTGAGGCCACTGCCTCGCGACGGGGGTCAGTGTGCAGAAGATGTAGATGCACGAACGACGGCATGGCCGCCAGCCAGCGTCCAAAAGCACACGGCTCGTAGTGAGCACAGAGACGTGAGAGTGGCATTTGCCTCGCGTACGCGTGCAGGATCTTCGGATGCACGAGAGCCGGCATTGCCGCCAGGCAGCGCCCAAGAGGAGACGAACCGTGGTAGCACCCGCGACGTGAGAGTGTGTTGGACCGCCAGCCCTGCCGCTGGACCGTTTCCTTGAGGGCGCTGCCTCGCGACGGGGGCAAGCGTACAGAGTCTGTGCACGCACGAAGGCCAGCACTGACGCCCGCCAGCGTAACAAATGAAACGGATCGAGCTAGCCGGGGAGACGTGAGAGTGCGCAGGACCACTGGCCTTGCCGCCAGGCTGAGTCCTTGAGGCATTTGCCTCGCGACGGAGACAAGCTGGGTCTGTGTCGAGACATCGAGGTGAAGGCCTCGAGGTCTTCGAGGGGGAGACCTCGATGTAAAGACATCGAGGTGAAGGCCTTGAGGTGGAGACCTCGAGGTGAAGACATCGAGGTGAAGGCCTCGAGGTAATCCTCGAGGTGACGACCGCGAGGTGGAAACCTCGCGGTGAAGACCTGGTGGTGAAGACCTCGAGGTGAAGACATCGAGGTGAAGATCTCAAGACGAACACCTCGCCGTGAAGATCTCGAGTCGGAGACATCGAGGCGGAGACCGCGGATTGCGCAGGACCTCAGGTCTTGCCGCCGGGCTGTCCTTGAGGCAAGTACCTCGCGTGCCGGGCTGTCCTTGACGCATGGGGTGATTGTACAGGTGGTTTTCGGGCGTGCGCCATGTGGACACCATTGCCGGCGCCCCAGGCTTCCTGCACAACAGCCACCCCATTGGCTGCGGCCATCGGCATGTGGAGAATGAGGAGGATTAGGAGCAATGAATGACATGGAGAAGGGGGAAGGATGAGGATAGTCAGGGATGGGGGCAGAGGAAGATGGGGGATTGAACGGCGGGTGGAAGAGGAGGAGGAGGAGGAGGAGGAGGAGGAGGAGGAGGAGGACGAGGAGGAGGAGGAGGAGGGGGGGGAAGCAGACGAGGAAAAGGAGGATGATGGTTGTGGAGGAGGAGGAGGAGGAGATGTCGGATTATATGTCTCTTGCTCGTTCTCGGAGGGTCGAGGGGCATTTTATTTAGGCTCCAGATGGACTTCCCAGGGAAGACAGGGCGGAGGAGGAGGAGGATTTGGATGCTGATGATGATGCTGATGGTGAGGATGAGGGTGAGGATGAGGATGATGATGATGCTGATGATGATGATGATGATGATGATGATGATGATGATGATGATGATGATGATGATGATGATGACGAGGAGGAGGAGGAGATGGCGGACCCTATGTGTGTTGTTCATTTGTTCATTCTTGGACGGCCGAGGGGCCTCTTTTCTATGCTCCAGATGGACTTCGCGGGGAAGACGGGGTGGAGGAGGAGGAGGAGGAGGGAAGAGGAGGAGGAGGAGGACGAGGAGGAGGAGGAGGATAAGGAGAAGGAGTATACTAAGGAGTGTGGTGATGATGATGATGATGATGATGATGATGATGATGATGATGATGATGATGATGATGATGATGATGATGATGATGATGATGATGATGATGATGAGGAGGAGGAGGAGGAGGAGGAGGAGGAGGAGGAGGAGGAGCAGGATGAGGAGGAGGCGCAGGAGGAGTATCATGAGGAGGAGGATGACGAGGAGGAGGGAAGAGGAGGAGGAGGAGGAGGAGGAGGAGAAGTAGGAGGAGGAGGAGGAGGAGGTTGCTGAGGCGGTGGAAGAAGCCGCGGGCACAGGCCGTGGACATCCGGCTCATCGACTTCGGGTGCTCCACGGGCCCTGCTGCCTCAGGCGAGGCGGGTGAGACCCCCCCTGGGTATTATGTTTACATATTTCAATCCGGCGTGTTGGAAATCATATTTCAGCCTCTCGGAGGCCCAAACAAGGAAATCAAAAAAGCTAAAAACGAACGGTTCATTCCCAACCCTCTTGCGTTTCAGATCTTCGTTTTGAGTTCGCAGCGCCGCGCGTTTTTTTCTTCCTGCTCCTTCGTCCTCCTGCTCCTCTTCCTCCTCGTCCTTAGCACCATGCTTATCGTCATCATCACCATCACCATAGTCGACATCGTCGTCATCATCATCGTTACCACCGTTATCATCTCCATCCTATTTCCGTCCTACTCCCCACGCGTCTCGTCCACACGTGGCCCCTGCAGGGAGCTCCACCGAGGGCCCCAGTGGCAGGGCTCATGTGCCGCCGCCCCAGAAGTTCCAGCACACCCGTCACACGTTTCGTCGTCCCCTACGGAGCTCCGTCGCAGGTCCCATTGGCTGGGTTCACATGCCGCCGCCCCGAAAATTTCAGTACACCCGTCACACGTTCGTCGTCCCCTAGGGAGCTCCATCGAAGGTCCCAGTGGCAGGGTTCACATGCCGCCGCCCCGACCATTTCGGCACACACCTCACACTTGTCGTGGCCCTCTAGAGAGCTACACCGAGGGTCCCAGTGGCAGGGTTCACACTTCGGCGCGCATCTCACACGTTTCGTGGCCCCCTAGGGAGCGCCATCGAAGGCCCCAGAGGCAGGGCTCACATGCCGCCGCCCCTACAATTCCGGCGCACCCCTCACGTTTCGTGTTCCCTTCGGGAGCTTCGCATGCCGCCGCCCGGACCCTTCTGGCGCTCCCCTCATTCGTTTCGTGCTCCCGAGGGAGCTGAGCCGAAGGCCCAAGCGGCAGGGACTGCATGCCGCTGCCCCGACAATTTCGGCACACCCCTCGCGAGTTTCGTGGCCCCCAGGGAGCTTCACCCAAGGCCCCAGTGGCAGGGTTGGCGTTCCAATTCGCAGGAAACCGTTTTCGTCGAAGGAAACTGAAACCTGGAGCGTTGCTTGACGCAGTCGTCCTTCGGACCTGACCTTTGACCACAATCAAGGCTCGCGTGCACTTGCCATTCGTTTTGTGATTTCGCTACCGTCCTTCGAGGTTGCCCATCGGGCCCTCTGATCACTCCCGACTCCTTACCCACGAGCAATGCTCGCGTGCGCTTGCCCTCCAGTAATTGCGTGATATCGCCACCGCCCCGTCGGGCCCTCTGATGACTCCCGATGTTGCAAAGCTCGCGTGCCCTTGCCCTCAGGTTCTTGATTTCGCTATCGCCCTTCGAGGCTGCCCATCGGGCCCTCTGATCACTCCCGATTTCTGAACCACGGGTAAGGCGCGCGTGCCCTTGCCCTCCAACTTGTGATATCGCTACCGCCCTTCGAGGTTGCCCATCCGGCCCTCTGATCATTCTTTTTTTGCCACGGGCAACGGTCGCGTGCCCTTGCCCTTGGGTTTGTGATATGGCTACCGCCCTTCGAGGTCGCCCATCGGGCCCCCTGGCAGCTATCATACCATGCGTTCAATTCGGAAGGCTTAAGAGGTCACTGGCAGGTAGCAAACGTTTTATCGTTTGGTAGTTCATGGGTTGTTTTGGGGTCATCTCGGAGGTCGTCGGAAGTTTTTTGTGGGATCTTCGGTAGTCCGTGGAAGATAGCGACGGCAACGGAGGGGGGCGGAGGGGAAACCCAGAAAACGAGGCTTCTGAATGGGCCGATGCTTGAGCCAGCCAGGGAATCGTGAGCTTGGGGCGCAGCCGCGCGGCTCCCGGTCTGGAGTTCCGCGCGCTACGCTGGAGCTGTTACCCGTTCCTCAAGTCATTCTTCCATTCGTCCTGTTTCCTGCGCCCCCGCCCTCGTGCTCTGCGCCGCGCGCACTGTTAACAGCCCGTGTGTGATGTGAGCCGCCCGAGCGCGTGCCGAGTTTGTTCCGACGTTTTCAAGCGAAGTCTCCACGGGCATTGCCGAACCTCCCAACGAGCTCGTATGCGTTTAGCGGTGTTGCTGATATTTCCACGCGCGCGAGATTGGTTGGTTTCTTTGCCTGTTTTTTTTGTTTGTTGTTTTTTTTGCGTGTTCAGCCCCGCTTGTTTGAAAGCTTCCAGGTCCGTTGCGCGGTTTCGCACTGCCCTCTGCCACGCCCTCGGTTCCGTTCCTTCCTTTGCGTCCAGCCCTCCCTTGAGATGTGTTGTGAGCCGTCTGCTCTCCTCTTTGTCGTCGCTGCTGGCTGGTCGCGGGGGCCTCTGGGCCTTCTCCCGCGCCGGTGGTCTGACCGGTGTTCGGGCGTCTGTTTGGGCGTTCTCAGCTCTGCGCTCGGCGCGCGGAGCGGGAGGGGCGAGAGGCGGCATGAGCAGGGAAGCTGTGAGCGAAGACGGCCGAGGAGACGAGGAGCAGTCTCTTACAGCATATAAAGACCTCAAAGCCAAGACCCACAGCGACGGGGCTGAATACGCAGGATCAAAACGTTGCAAGCAGGAAAAAGAACGTAGCGTTGTTCAGCGTTGTTTAGTTCGTCGAGAGCCCCAGTGGCCAAACGGTTGAAAAATACCCAGGTCAGTTTTCATAATAGTGCAACAAAAGTCAAGCAGGGAGCGCCCTCCTTCTCCCCCATCCTTCTCCATTGCTGCCGATTTCCAGTGTTGATTTCTCTCGTCATCACCTCCCGTGCTTCAGTTCCCCTGCTCCATCACTGCTGGCTCTCGTGCTAATTCTCAGTCAGTCTGTCTGTGTCTGTCTGTCCTGTCCTACCCTGTCCTGTCATGTCTGTATGTTTGTCTGTCTGTCTGCCTGTATCTCCCTCTGTCCGTCTGTCTGTCTCTCCATCTGTCCGTCTTGCTTCCTTGTCTCCATGTCTGTCTGTCTTTCTGTCTGTCTTCCTGTCTGTCTGTCTGTCTGTCTGTCTGTCTGTCTGTCTGTCTGTCTGTCTGTCTGCCTCTTTCTCTCCTTGCTTGTCTGTCTGTGCCCCTTCTACCCTTTCCCCTTCGCCAATTGCCTTGTCCCTCCCTCCCCTAATCACCTTCTCTCCTTCCTGTCGCAAAGGCGGCAGAAGGCAGGCAGGATTTCAATCCAGGTAACTTGTGCGCCCAGGGGTTGGGGACGTTCCTTCTTCTCGACAGGGCTACGCGGCAAGCCGAGCTACCAAGCCCCGGAGTTGCACCTGGAGGCAGAGTATGATGCATTCGCCGTGGATGCCTTTTCCCTTGGCGTGATGATCTTCACGGTGGTCGTGGGGAATTATCCTTGGAGCTCCACGCGCCCTAGCGCTGGCGGCTGTCAAGTTTTCCAGTTCTATGCCGAGAAGGGCTTGACTGCCTACCTTCAGCGGCGCAGGATTCGGGTCGATAACCAGGTCGTGGTGCTCTCGGACGTCTTGTCTCCATCACTGACGGATCTGCTTGCCGGCCTGCTCGCGGTAAACAGCTCAAATAGGCTTACCGTTGCAGGCGCCTGCAAGCACTCCTGGCTGGCGGCGCCGTAGAGGTAGACGCTGCCCAGTGTGTTTGCCCAGTCGAAAGCCCGGTGAAGTCGGGTATTGGGATTCAGCCAGAAGCTTCAGCAACCCTTCCCCTTGAGACATCTCCGTTCCCCGCTCGAGTCCTTCATTCCCGGACCTAGGTGATTGTGACACTCAGGAGGGGCAAAACACACAGACACATTGAATCGCCGGTTCCCCAGAAAATATGGGAAACTGTGGGAAGCGGGGGGGGGGAGGACAAGCACCCAGAAGCAGTGGGAAAAGATATGGATTTGTTTTTTACTTGTGTGTATTTCTTTGTGTGTCCTGGGGCCCCTTGCAGACACCGGGCGCGAGGCGGCGGGCGCGGAGCGAGCGGCGTGCGCCCCGGAACTCTCCGGAGGTCTTCCGGGAGCCCGCAGAGGGCCAGGCGCACTCAGAGGACCTCGGTCTTCGGACTTCGATCTCTTCGACGGCAGGAGAATCACCACCCACCAAACCACCCCAGCCCAACCCGAAGGCTCAGATTTACCCTCGATTTCCAGTGTGGGGGGGGGGGGTCGGGAAACATCGTAAAGACACATGTGGAACCCTTACCCCCCCCCCAACAAGAAAAAAAGTCTTCGGGTTGGGTTGGGGTGGTCTGGTAGGAAGTCAGAGAAGGAGCCCTAGCGTTATGTCGGGCGTGTCCCCCGACAGGGGGATTTTCGCAAAAAATTGAAAACACCCAAAACATGCCCCCAAAAGGTCAAAAACAATAGTCCCCAGACTATTTTTGGATTTTTGTTTTTTTTTTGGGGGGGGGGTATTTTTCTTGTTTCGTCGAAAATCCCCCTGCAGGGGGACAGGCCCGACTTAACCCTAGCGTTCCCCACCTTCGACTGTCCGAGCGCTGCCGACGCCGAAGATTTGTTCCCGCGTGCATACTTCGCTGGCGATGTATCATGATTCGTGCTCTTTCGGATCTATATCTCCATTCAGCAGTCATCGACGTTTTGACACTCTGCAAGATATGGCACTCCGGTTCTATGCGTCTGCAGTACAGGATCGATTTCCATTGAAGGCTATATTGGATGAACACAGTTCGCGTCGGGATCCCTTTTGCCTGTTTGTCCTCTTGCTATTACGCCTGAGGAGTATATCAGAATGGTATTTTTGAGTGTCTGCAGCGATCGTGTGAAATATTCTCCCCGCGCAGATAGCGCTTTACGCAGGTCCTCTCACTGCTGTCAGCGTTCGCCGCAGGATCTTCAGGAGGAAGAGAAGGATGACGATGATGCTGATGATGATGATGATGATGATGATGATGACAATGAGAATGGTGGTGGTGGTGGTGGTGGCGATGGTGATGCTGATAATGTTGATGATGATGATGCTGCTGATGATGATGATGGTGCTGATGATGATGATGTTTATGATGCTGCTGATGATGATTACGATGATGTGGATGATGGTGATGGAAATGATGACGATTATGATGCTGCTACTGGTGATCATGATGCTGTGGATGATGGTGATGATTAGGATGATGGTGATGCAGACGATCATACTGATGATGATGTTGATGATGATGATGATCATGCTGACGATGATGAATATGACGATATGATAATGATGCCGATGCTGGTGCTGATGATGCGATGATGACGCTACTGATGACGATGGCGATGATGCTGATGCTGATGCGGATGATGATGCTGATAATGATTTTTATGATGCTGCTGCTGCTGGTGATGATTATGTTGTTGTTGTTGATGATGATGGTGAGGAGGAGGAGGATGATGATGATGACGATGATGAGGGGGAAGAGGAAGAGGAAGAGGAGGAAGAGGAGGAGGAGGAGGATGGTGAGCCAGCTGAGGAGATGGAGGACTCGGTGGATGAGGAGGGATAGATCTGCGCAGCTGGCGTTTCAACTGGCGATTCAGGCAGCGATGCTGCCGTCTCGTGCGCCAAGTCGCCTTTGGCTTCGTGTCTGGTCTGCTGCCTGCTGGGCAATGACATCACGAGAAGCGCCTCTTTCACGGGGCTGCAGAAATGCCAGATCCAACCGATTACCCAGTGTGTGCCCCCAACCATCCTGTGGCGTCGGGCCCTCGGGCTGCAGAGACAGCATCGCGCTCTACTCCTCCCGCTGCCCCCTCCTCCCAGTCCTGTCTCTGCCCTCCGCATGTGCATGCCGGCACGCCCCTCACACGGTCTGTGGTCCCGTAGGGAGGTCCACCGAAGGCCGCAGTTGCGGTGCTCAATTGCGGGTCTCGCGCTGGGCACGCCCCTCACACGCTTCGCGGTCCCACTGTGAGCCGCGAAGGCCCCAGTGGCGGGGTCCGCGTGCGTCCCCCGCGCCGTTTCGGCGCACCCCTCGGACTTTTCGCGGCCCCGAAGGGAGCTCCACCGAAGGCCCATGCGGCAGTGATTACATGCGGGCGTCACGCCCATTTGGGCACACCCCTCACACGCTTCGTGGCCGCCGCCCAATAGGGGGCTCCGCAGAAGGCCCCAGAGGCAGGATCCGCACGCGTCCCCCGCGCCAATCTGGGCACACCCCTTACACGTTTTGTGCGTCGTGGCCCCATAAGGAGCTCCACCGAAGGCCCATGCGGCAGTGCTCACATGCGGGCGTCGCACCAATCTGGGCACACCCCTCACATGTATTTGTGGCCCCATAGGGGGCTCCACCGAAGGCCCCAGTGGCAGTGCTCACACGCGGGCGTCGCACCAATCTGGGCACAACCCTCACATGTTTTGTGGCCCCAGAGGGATCTCCACCGAAGGCCCCAGTGGCAATGCTCACATGCGGGCGTCGCACCAATCTGGGCACACCCCTCACATGTATTTGTGGCCCCATGGGGAGCTCCACCGAAGGCCCCAGTGGCAGTGCTCACACGCGGGCGTCGCACCAATCTGGGCACAACCCTCACATGTTTTGTGGCCCCCTTGGGAGCTCCACGGAAGGCCCCAGTGGCAGGGTTCGGACGCCCCTCCGCCGCACAAATTTCGGGACACTCCTCGCGCGCTTCGTGGCCATACTGGGAGCCCCACCAAGGCCCCGGGGGCGACGCTCGCCTGCGGCCGCCCATCCCATTCTGGCACACCCCTGCCACGCTACACGGCACCACAGGGAGCTCCACCGAAGGCCCCGGCGGCAGGGTTTACATCAGGGAAACAAGAAGTAACATAAACATACAAACTCGGAGGCCCGCGCGAATTTCTCGGATCGGCGCTGGGGCCCCCCGGCGGCAGGGTTTACATCAGGGAAACAAGAAGTAACATAAACATAAAAACTCGGAGGCCCGCGCGAATTTCTCGGATCGGCGCTGGGGCCCCCCGGCGGCGCCTCCGGCGCCGCCCCTGGCGCGCTCCGCGCGCCAGGGAGGGGGGTCCAGCGCCGATCCGAGAAATCCGCGCGGACCTCAGAGTTTTTATGTTTATGCAACTTTTTGTTCCCCTATTTTCCCTCCTCGACGGTGCGCGTTCTCCTGCGTGAGGAGACGGTGTGTTTTGTTTCACGCCTGGTCCTTGTTTATATTTCAATTGGGTTGCCTGGTGGACCGCTGGCACCTGATCAGGAACCGCCTGGTTTCCTGGCTGCGGAGTTCTAGGGGAGCTAGGCCTCGGGCCAGGGCTTCACATTTTTCGTTTCAATCGTTCATGCTGGTGTTGTGTTTTTTCGCCGCCATCTCCTTTTCTCTCCCCTTCCCCTCTGGTTTGTTTCTTTCCTTCTCCACCTACTGCTCCTCCTCCTTCTCCTTCGCCTGTTCCTCTTGTTGTTGGTTTCTCTCTCTCTCTCTCTCTCTCCCTCTGTCTCGCTCTCCCTCTCTCTCAGTTGTTCGTTTCTCTCTCTCGCTCTCTCTCTCTCTTTATTCCTCGCATGTATATGTATATTCATACAGATGTGCATATACATGTGCACGCACACATCTATATATATACACAGAAGTGCAACGTTATGTTTTATAAGTCGATATGTATCCACATATCTATATATGGATATCGATTCATCCATCTACCTATCGATCAATACATATACATGTACATGTATACATGTCTATATCTATTTACATCTCTAGCTATACACATACACCTGTGCGTACACATAGATTTGCTATACCGACATATGCATATATACATACACAACGATACACTTATATATATACATATATACATACATACATACATACAAATGTGTGTATATGTCGGAGCAGACCAGAAGGTGGGGGACGAGCGGACCAGGACTTCTGGCTCGCACGGCGGCCCCCGGGCGGCCCACGGGGGGGCCCAAGGGCTCCCAGGCGGGGCCTCGAGGGCTCCCGGACGGCTCCAGAGGCCGCCGGGACCGGCCCCAGACCGCCCAAGACGCTCCGAGACGCCCCCAAAGATGGTCTCAGCAAGGGTCGAGAGGCTCGAGACGCTCCAAGAGGGCTCCAAAAGGGAGCTCCAGGAGGCCCCCCACGAGGGCCTCCCGGGAGGGCGAAGGCGTCCCATTCCTCTTCTGGGGAGCATCGGGTCTTAGCACGTTTCTGTGATTTCACGGCGTCCGCAGCGGCCCAATGAGGCTTCAAGACGACCCAGCAGGGCCCCAAGGGCCCAAGGCGTGCCCAGAGAGCCCCAACTCGTTCCAGGGGCGCCCACGGCAGCCCAGGAGAGCCCCAAGAGGGCCCCACGGGAGGCCCCAGACGGTCCTAAGAGGGTGCCAACAGGGGTCGTGGGGCTTCATCTTGGGCGGTGTGGCTCCCAACATGCCCCAAAGACCTTCCGCCCAATTGATACAGTGGGGACCCACGCCAAGAAACACCCTGCTTGTCTCCAGGGTACCCTGGGTTTCTTCGGTTTCGATGGTTCGACGTTCCCACACCACAAAATCAGTGGATGTCTTGGGCTCTCAGGGTCGGGTTTCTTGTGGCGGATTTCTCGTGGTCGGGCCTCCACTGTAATGGGGGAAGCCTGAGTGTGAGTGTCTGTGTGAGTGGGTCGGAGTTTCGGTGAGCTGAAGTGTGAGCGACTCTGTGTGTGTGTGTGTGTGCGTCTGCGCGTGAGTGGGCTTGGGCGTGCCCGCGCTCTGAAGGCAGAGGATTTGGAAGGGGGGGGCAGACAGAGGCAACTCGCCTGAGGCAACTCGCCTGAGGCAACTCGCCTGAGGCATCCCCCAAGTTGCCACTTGGGCGCAACTCTCTGCCTTGCCTGTCTCGCTCTGGTGGGACATCCTTGCACGGTATTTGCAGTTCAGCGTGCTTGATCGTCGATCCTCTGAGCTGGGGGGTCGAGCAAGCAGCATAAGAAAGCAGAAGCCTGACCATGCGCGCGTATGACTGTGAATGGGCTCTGTGCGAGTGCATGTGAGTGCGAGTGAGTCTGAATATCAGTAGGTCTGAGTGCCAGTGGGCATGAGCGCAAGCGAGTCTGAGTGAAAGTGTGTATGAGTGTGAGTTGTCGGTGTGTGAGTGAGTCTGTGGGTAAGGCTGAGTGCGAGTGAGTTTTAGTTTGAGAAAGCTTGAATGTGAGTGAATCTGAGTGCGCGAGGGACGCTGCTGAGTGAGCAAGTGGGGCAGATGTGCACCAGTAATAACAAGAACCCTATCCCAGGATACGGGAGCAATCGCAACGTCGGTGTTCTGGAGACCCCTCGCGTATGACAGAGTCGAGGAATTTTGCCGCATTTGTTCTGTATAGCCTTCTTGCGGCTCCTTCGGGCCCTCGGGAGGCCTCAGATGCATTCCTGTGGCACCCCTTTGGGCCCGGTTGTTGGACCATCTTGGGGCTTCTCTTGGGCGCCTTTTTGCACTCTCTTGAGACTGTTTTTTTGGGGTCTGGCCATGGCCTGGGTTATCGGTCTCCCCCCCGCCCTGGATAACTTCGCCCTGTTGGTTGAGCAGGTCCAGACACATCTTTCGGCATTCCCAGACAGTGCCCGCATCGTGGCAGCACGAATCATAGCATCGTCGCAACATCGTTAGCAGCCGTAGGGGCCGCAGCATTGGTTCGCGCCAGCATGTGCGGGGCTGCCCACAGCGCGAAGGTCAGGTTATCAGCCGCCCGCCCCCGGATAACCCTTGCTTATCGCTGATCCCAGAAATCGCTATATTTTGATGCCCTCTTGAAACCCACTTTGGGCTGCTCTCTTGGACCTTCTTGGAGCGCTCCGGGGCCCTTCCTGAAACCATCGTCGGCCGACACTGGGCACCCTGTTGGAGCCCCCCTGGGGCCGTTTGGCTATTCTGAAGTACCTTTTGGCGCCATTATTTAGGCCTCCTCGATCCCTGTTGTAGCAATTCTTGGGACCTCTTCGGCGCAGCTCTTGGATCTTTTCCTGAGCCCTCCTCGGCCATCCTCTCGGGCCTCGTCAGGGCAAGTCTTCCCGACTTTCCCGGCGTGCGCAGATCGAGCTCCACGAAGGCGGAGTGCGAGCCGCGCGTGGGGCCGGTGGCCTCTAGCAGTCTGAGCCGGCACGGGGCTCTTCGGCGGTCCCCGCGACCCAGGCGAGCACAGTCTCCGCACGCCGCGCGACTTCGCGCCACGGCGTGTGCCCGCCTCGCGCGCCGCGCTCTCGTGCCGAGCCTCTCCTCCTCCTCCTCCTCCTCCTTCTCCTCCTCCTCCTCCTCCTCCTCCTCCTCCTCCTCCTCCTCTCTCCTCCTCCTCCTCCTCCTCCTCTCCTCTCTCCTCCTCCTCCTCCTCCTCCTCCCTCTCCTCTCCTCCTCCTCCTCCTCCTCCTCCTCCTCCTCCTCCTCCTCCTCCTCCTCCTCCTCCTCCTCCTCCTCCTCCTCCTCCTCTCCCTCGACGTCTCATCTCCTGGGCGCGCCTCCCGCAGGCTTCTGGGGCGCCCGCCCCGGGCGCCCTGAGTCCTGCCAACCCCCGCCGCGGCCTCGAGGGAGCGGCTGCCGGGGCTCCTACGGCCTTCCTGGATGGAGCCGTGGCGAGGCGTCCTGGCCTGCCTGCAGGCCCACCCAAGAGGTTTCTGATAACCTCTTGCTGGCTGCACGAAGTGTTATGGGAACAGTTCTGGTATATGTATATGGGTATATGTATGTATATCTATATATTTGTATATATATATATTGCGTTGTCATAACAAATCGGGTCTAGAATCCAAGAGCATCGTTTTGTTCTTCGAGCATGTTTTGGGTCCTCAAAAGATGTCGTGGTGGGCCTATAGAAATGCCGGGACGGTCGGTACCTGCTCAACTGGAGGGGCCCGCTCTCCTTT